CTGCTTTTGTGGTCAGATCCAGCGGTGGATCTGTGCCGTCGGTGACACCAGCAAGCCTCACCTGGGAAAGGTGCCTGCTGCTGTCAGCTGGGAGCATGGGCTGCCTTGGAAGTGGGGGGACATCCCCTGCAGTCATGGATCAGCTGGGAAGTGGCTGCATGTGGCACCTTGGACAGTGGGTGCAGCTCTTCTGAGTGTACAGGAGTGTCTTGTTTTCCATGGGATTTCTGCTGCTTGCTTTGTTCACCGTTGTGCCATTTGTCGTTGCAGTTACTGGGGGGTGTCTGAATCTGCGGACTTTTTCCCTGTTTTCCTCTGCTCCTGTGTCTGTGGCCTGTGTTGTGGTGGTCAGTGGCCCATCCAGTGGCTTTGGGAGGCTCCACACCCCTCACACAGCAGCAGGTCACTCTCAGCTGGCCAGCTAAGGGATGTCACAGGAGTCACCAGAGCCTGGTGGCCTGGGTTGTCCCCTGTGCTGAGTGAGGATGCCAGAGCACAGACCTCCCAGGGAGATTTGTTCCCCCAAAGGCAGAATGAGAAGTGCCAGAGAAAGAAGGGATTTCTTTGCATCTCTGGTGGTGCTGTGAGAGACCTTTGTTGCCTGCAGACAATCCCTGCTGGGGGAGGGTGTCCCTGGTTGCTGCTGCTGCTGTGTCCTTTGCCCTGTGATCCAACAAGCACCATCACCTGCTGCATTTTGTGTTCCCTTGCACAGCTGCTGTCACACTGCTGCAGCTGCTCTGGCTGCTCCTGTGCTCCTCACTCGTGCATCCCACATTTTTAACGTCCTGTGTATCATGTGTCCCCAGAGCACCAAGTGAGATTCCTGTTTAAATCACAGTATCACAGTACTCTGAGTTGGAAGGGACCCACAAGGATCACGGGAGTCCAGCTCCCAGGGAGACCAAATATGGGGTGGAGATAGTTGTGAAACCTGGTGTCACAGGGGTGGAATTCCCGGTTCCCTCGGTGGTAAAAGTGACTTGAGCAGGATGCAGGAGTTACTTCTCACAGTTCTAGTCCTCTATTGGATAAGAATTACCCAAAATTAGAGGGGAAGGTGGGTTAATTGGGGGAGAATTTATCAATGTTTAGAAGCAGCTGGTGCTGGTGGCCAGGAACACTCTAGCACAGCTGTATTCCAGAATTTCACATTCAAAACCTTTTCCTGCTGGAGCTGGTGAGAAAGGGAGAAACAGCTTGGGAATGGCACGTCTAGAAAAGGGTTGGAAGCTCTTTTAATAATTGAAAACAAAAAGTCATCATATGGAAGCGTTTATAAATTTGAATGTGACTCTGTTATTTCTCCAGCATTTCTTGTGACACCGGGAAGTGCCCGTTGTGCTCCCCGGTGGTGTTGGCACGTGGGGGCTGTGTCAGGCTGCATGCACATGTGGGAATCTGGCTGCCACAGGTCCTTCCAGTTTTCCCTGTAGTCTGCTTCCTTCAAGTGCCAGTCTTTTGTGTGATGCTTTAATGGGTTTTCCTTGTATAAGTGGATTCTTGTCCTGGGAACATGTGGAATTTTGGCCTGTTGTATATTTCTGTATTGTGCTGCAGATCTGAGCTGTAAAATGTCAGGTTTTCCACATTATTCTGCCAGAGGGGCGACCAGATTCATGGAATTATTTAAAAGAAGATATTTTTCTTTTAAAGCAGCTTTATAATTTTAAATGTTTGGAACTCACAGAGAGCAAAGAGCTCCTGTTTAAAGACCAGAGCTCATTTTAGGCCAAAATTTAAACATGTACTAAAACCTTTAGCTCTGACTTCCTAGGAAAGGAATAAAATCCCTCAGTTATCTTTGTTAATTAGCCACTGCTCCTGTGTTTTGATTCAAGTCATGAAGTTGTGCTTCCCTAATGCCAGGAGTACCAGGAGTGGCTCTTGGTACCAGGGTGAGTTGGCACTGGGCACTGCAGGGAGAGGGTCACTGGAGAGGGACTTTCCTTCTCAGGAAATCCAGCGTGTGGTGATGGTGCAGAGACCAGGGAATGTGCTGGGAGCCCTGTGACTGGCAGCACAAGGATGGCTTGTTCCTTGGAATGACTTGAAGGTGCCTGCATGGCAGCCAGGCTTCTCTGGGAGTGCTTCACCTGTTACAAGGAACATCTCCTTTGCCAGGTGGGAAAACACATTTTCTTCTCTTTATTCTTTATACTCTGAGCCTCAGAAGGTCCTTTGGCTACAGGTGATTCACCAGTCCTGGCTGTTTCTGAATCACTTGGGATGGAGGTTGGCTGTAGAATAAAAAATCATGGGGAAAAAAAAACCACATAGAAGGGAAAGGGAGTCCCCAATGCTTCACCCTAAATTCCTCAAATTAATAACTGCCTGGCTGAAAGGGTCTGGGTTTCATCCTTTTTTAAAACTGATCTTCTGGAGACAGGAATCTTTTCCTTAATCAGAAGAAATAACCTCTTGCATAAGGATATCAACAAGGGAATCTGCTGGGTGTGAGTGAGGAGATTTGAGGAGGAAGAAGAGTATAAGAGAACTGTGTGAGGCTGAGCAAGTCCCAGGACAAAGCACAGCTGAGTCCACCTTTATACAATAAGTTTTATTGATGTTTTGTCAATACAATCAAGTACTGCAGTTTTAGTTGTGAAGAGCAGGCCAGTTTTGGGTCACAAAGAGTGCATTTTAAACCAACTTTTACTAGGACAGTGCATGTAATAAGTATTTACAAAACTAAAAACCTCTATATACTAGGTTAGAAATGAAGATACTAGAGGCAAATTTAAAAAAAATAGTAAGAATTTGTATATAAAAATGCACATTGTAATGCAGTTTTCAGCATTAAAAATAGACACTTCATCCAACCCAACCTTTTTTATTCTTGTGATTGAAACCAAAATCCCACGCGCTCACACACACGACAGAAAATAATCCTTTCTGCTGGCGAATATGTACTCAGTATTCCAGAAAAAAATCCTTCTGGAGAGTGAACAGCCTCCCTCATCCTGTGCATCGTTTTTTTTTTAGCCTAACTATGTGCGTGTAATATCTTTGCTTTCCACTAGTGTGTAAATGTAAGAGGTTAAATAGCTGCAAGGAGTGATTATGGGTTTGCTCTGCACATGAAGGGAAAGTGGAGTTGCAAAACAATATCTACAGCACGAAGGAGTTAATCTGGGGGGTGGTTACAGTGAGGAGTTTGGTCGTTGCTTTTTGCCAGCTCGAACGAGAAGTTTGGAGTGAAACAGAACAGAACAAAAAGAGGTGGGATGTAGGGTAGGCACAGTATAAATAAGTCGCTGTGAGGAGCAGGGTGAGGCTCCCACCAGGTGTGGCAGCTCCTGGCCCTGCACAGGTTGTGTGGGGCCAGACCAGCCAAGTCCCTCCCTGTTCTCCACAGGGAAGGAGAGAGATCCCCTGCCAGCACCCTCCACTCCCAGACCTGGGCTTGGAAAAAACATCAGAGCTTCCCCTTTTAATTTTAGGGATTCTCTGTGTATGGGTCCTGTTCCTGCTGGGAAATAACCTGTTACAGTCACAACCCAAATGGTCCTGACCCCATCCCGCCCTCAGGAGTTAAAAATGTCCAGTGGGATCTGACACCTTTCAGCTTGAGAAGTTTCATCTTTGCATGAAACTTGCAGCTTTAAGGAGAGAAAATCCCAGGAGGGGACACAGCCCCAACAGGCAGTGGCTGGAGCACTGCCCTTCCAACTGCCAATTTCCTTCTTGTGTTTTTTTAATTTCAGGAATAGGTGTGTTTTTAAAAGGAAGCCCTGGATGACAAGAGGCAGAAACACAGGACAAGCTTGAGGAGAAAAACAAACAAACAAAACAGAAATAGGAAAAGGAAAGTTGTTTAAATATCTTGTAGAGTCCATCTGGAGGACAAGTTCAGTCCCAGCCTTGCTGTGTTTCTTTGGCCATCAAACAGGCTGTAGGAAAATGCAAAGGTCAGAGGTGCTCAGCTGGTGACCACATTGTTGGTGTTTCTCAAGGATGTGCCTTTGCAGAGGGACATGCAGTGGGATGCACATGGATTGACTTCAGCAGCGTGTCCCTGGCCTGGGATGAGCAGAATCCCTGTCCTGTGAGTGGCAGTGACTGTTCTACTGTGAGAAACCTGCAGAGCCATGGATTCCCTTGTTGCCTGTGCCAAGGGACAGAGCAGCCAGGTGGGCACTGCTGTGCACACCCAGGGCAGAACCCTGCAGCTCATACTCAGGTCAGTAACACTTCAGCACTGGGGAGACAAAGTGGTAACAACAGAGAGATGATGATTTTTTTTAACCTAAGTCTCCGAGTGGCACCGGGGTTGGTGCCCTGTCACAGGTCCGTGTTTGGTGCCCTGTCACAGGTACCTATTGCACTACACTTGTAAGTAACACTGTGAAGTGGATCATAGCACCGTGGTGAAATCACTGCATGGGCAGTTAGAACCATACTGTTTTTTCTTAATGCCAAGATCCCCAGAGCAAGGGGGGACACCAATGCAAAAGTTCCCACATCCCGAAATAAACAGGAAAAGCAAGTGGTCCGTCAGTGGCACTTCCTTGTGGCACAACAGCTGGCAGTACCATGAGCCAGGCTCACAGTGCCATCCTTGTGTGGGCAGAGATGCTCCCGAGGCCAAGCAAGTCTTTGGGCTGCAGAGACAGACGGGACAGGACCAGCCCTTGGACTTCCCAGCAGGTAAATGGAGAGAGCGGATGGTTGTTCATCCCAGGGGTTCCAGGTTCCCTCACCTCCTTTGGAACAGGTTGTGCCATCCTCCCAGGTACCAGTGCCTGGATGTTTTAATTCCTAAAGGTGCTGGGGGGGAGGGTTCAAAATAATATTTACTTCTTAGAAGGTGCTTATGCAAAATGTTCCACTTTTTAGGATTATAAATCCAACCACACTGAATCCGGAGTGAATCGGAGAGACTGCCCCAAAGCAGAGTCTGGAAAAACAGGCGTCAGCAAGCCTGGAACTCGGGCATCTGATGGTTGGGAAGGAAATTTCTCAATCCAGCATGGATCCCTGCTGCTGTACGGGTTTGTGTAAGTGCTGGGACCCTGCGTAGGTTACCAAACACACCAGCCATGACACAGCTGGATTTATTTATCCAGCATTCCAAATGGGAAACGAGGGCACTTGATACAGACCAGGAGGGTCTGGTCTTCCAGCCGCCCCTCTCTGGATCACAGAGCCAGATCCTTGCCATCCCAAGCGTGTTTCTGTGTTTGATGTCCAGTCACTGGGGTAAAATTTATTCCAAATATGCTTTGCTGAGGAAGTTGCTCCCCTCCCTCCCTTCTCCCTTCCCAAAAAAAAAGATAGATGGGTAGATGTCTCCTTCCCAATTACCCTTGTGACTCTTGGATCAAACAGCATGAAGCAAGGTCCCACAGCAGCGGCTTGCGCGTTCTTCCCAGTGACTTTTCTTTTTTGTATTAATTTTAAAACACTTTAAAAAAAAAAAAAAAAAAGTTTATGGCTAAAGTGGGTGAAAAGGAAACGTGCCCAACAGCCGTTATGTGGGGCAGAGCAGGAACCCAGAGAAGGAGGAGTGGATGTATTCCGTGGAGTACAGCCCGTTGGCCTGGTCCGAGGGCATTTGTACCCACACCTGGTCGTTCTCCTTGAGTTCAAGCACGGCACTGCCCGAGGCCTGGTCCAGGTACCCCTTTTTGTACTCGTCGTAGGTGTAGGTGGCCGGCACGTTGTTCTTGTACAGGGCCACCCAGACGTTGGTCCCTTTGACGTGCACGTGGTAGGCGAAGTAGTAGATTCCGGATACGGGGCAGGTGAAGATCCCGGTGACCGGGTTGTAGCCGTTGTGCCCGTTGTACAAGGTCCGGTCAAACTTGACGGGCATGCCGGAGGCGGGGAAGGGGGAGGTGAGGATGGCGGTGAAGGCGGGCGCGATGCGGGCGGCGAGCTCCCCCCGGCCGTACTGCGGCTTGCCCGGCTTCCCGTTGCCCAGCACGGCGCCCTCCACGCCGCCGTCCGGCAGGTGCAGCCCCGCGATGCCCGTCTCGTCCAGCACCCCCGGTGCTCCCGGCGGCCCAGGCGGCCCCGGTGGGCCTGGTGGCCCGTTCAGCCCCGGCGTTCCCGGCATTCCGGGGGGCCCAATGGGTCCGGCCATTCCGGGCTCGCCGGTCTTCCCCTCGCCAGGAACGCCAGGGAGCCCGGGCTCCCCTTTCAGCCCTGGTAACCCTTGTGGCCCCATGGGACCCGCGGGTCCTTGCAATCCTGGAATGCCTGAGGGGCCCCTCAGCCCTGGCTGTCCTGGGATCCCACCATCCCCTTTGGGCCCAGGGCCACCCGTTAATCCGGGCACCCCTGGGAGGCCGATGAACCCTGGTTCTCCTTTGGGGCCTGTCGGGCCAGGGGGTCCCACTGACCCGGGCAGACCCCTTTCTCCTGGCACCCCTGGCTTCCCAGCAAAGCCACTGGGGCCCTGGTCGCCACGCATCCCCGGCATTCCTGGGGGCCCACTTGGCCCCACGTCCCCTTTGGATCCGGGCAGCCCGTGCTTGCCCGGCAGCCCCATGGAACCCGGTGGGCCCGGCGGGCCAATGATGCCAGCAGGGCCTGGCTCACCCGGCTCCCCATCAACACCGGGTTCCCCCTTGTCACCGATGGCTCCCTGTGCCCCTGGCTGCCCACGGTCTCCTTTCAGGCCGGGCAAACCCGGCTTCCCATAACCTGTTGGGCCTGGCAGACCTGGGAGGCCACGGATCCCGGGCTCTCCCTTCGGTCCCATGGGGCCCTGTATCCCTGGCACCCCCGCAGCGCCCGGGACCCCGATCCCATCGATCCCAGGGGGACCCCGTGGCCCCACAGGGCCAGGCTCCCCGGTGACACCAGGCCCGCCCGGGGGGCCCATGTCGCCCTTGCCCCCCGGCGCTCCTGGCAGCCCGTCAAGGCCGGGCTTCCCAACGCCCACAGGCCCGGGGGGCCCTGCAGGGCCAGGAGGGCCCCCATTCCCCCGGGGCCCTGGTAACCCCGGCTTCCCCACACCATTTTCACCCTTCATCCCTCGCTCTCCACGGGGACCTGGCTCTCCTTTCGGGCCAGGCTCGCCCCGAAAGCCGGGCAGGCCGGGGCCACCCTGGGGACCCGGCTTCCCGTTGACGGAGAGTCCAGCTGGCCCAGGCAGCCCAGGGGGGCCGGGAAGTCCTCTTGGCCCTTGCTCCCCTCGCATGCCAGGCTCACCCTTGGCTCCAGGCATCCCTTTCATACCCGCCTTTCCAGGGAGTCCTGGGATGCCAGGTTTCCCAATGCCCGAGAAGCCAGGAGGCCCAGCGGGGCCAGGCTGGCCGTGCATTCCTGGCTTCCCTGTGCCTGGTTTTCCTGGGTAGCCGGGGGGCCCAGGGGGTCCACGTGGGCCAGGCTTCCCTGGTGGTCCTGGCTCCCCTTTGAGGTCCATGGGCAGCATCGGTGGCATGTCTGTGGAGAGAGGAGACACAGAGTGTCACTGGGGCCAGTGCTGGACAAGGACTGTGCTGCTGTGGGATGTCAGAACTGGGGCCTCTGCACTGCCTGGGCTGGGCTTACAGGAGGACCCTTCCATTTAAACATGGCCACAGTGGCTCACATCAGCAGGCCTGTCGTAAGGCAAGGCTCAGGCCAGAGCCCAGAGTGCTAATCCCAGCCTTACATCCCTCCACGGATGTCAGGTGACACCATGGAAGGTGTCAGCACAACCAGCGCTTGCCTTGGGCTCTGGCAGCTTTGTTTGGTGATGAGTTACTGTGGGGTGTTTTTAGGAGCTTGGATTCAAATCTCCTGCTGCTGCCTCACTTCCCAGCGGCCTCAAAAGCACTGTGGGATTCAGTCGCTCCCGCCTGGGCTCAGCTGAGAGGATGGCGACAGAGCAAGCCAAGACCGAGGATAATCCCTTCACCCCATCCCGCGAGTCCAGGGCCTCGGGAGACCTTTAATCCTTTTGGATTAAAAAGAAAACTCTTGGACATGTACTCGAAAGCCTGAGGAGGCAATGGGTGTGTGGGTTAGGCCATGCCCACAGTGCTCGCTGGCACAGCTCCCTAGTCCAGCAAGGCAGAGAAAAACCAAAAAGGAAAAAAGCGCTGGAGATGGAGGAGAAGCCAAGAACTGGGAGGGAAATGCAGCCTCAGCTCCGTCCAAATGAGTCAGCCCAGCTGGGAATAGGCCGCAACCACTTGACATTTCAAGAATTTATTGAGGTCTTTTGCAAACGGATATAAGAAAGAAACTAATGGGCTGAGAGTCTCCAAAGGCGAGGAGAGGCAGATGACATGCCCACCGCAGCTCGGCATGGAAAGCGCAGACGTGAGCATAAATAACTCCTTGAGGCCGGCCCAGGCAGGGTGTCACCTCCCACATGACACCGGGAATGGGTGAAAAAGAATAAATCAGACAAACTCTTTTTTTGGGAAGTTTGAAATGAAGGAAACACTTGACATTCGCACCTACACAGGACGATGACGAGAAATGCGAAATGCAGAGGAAAGGGCTTTGACATCTTGGGTGAATTGTAACCAAATCTGCCTAAGGTAGATCATTCCAGTTGGGAAGGGATCTGTACTGATTCCATCTGAGATGGGAATGGATCCTGACTGGGATGGGAGCAGGACATGAGACGATGTACCTGGGCATGGTGTTGTGGAGGAGGCAGTGGGGTCCCCAGGGTCTGCCAGCCCGGCCCCCTCAGTGAGCCAAGCATGGCCTTGGGAGCAGGGACACCCATAGAGCTGGGATCTGCCAGCACGGAGATTTCCTCACTCGATGGGAAAAGCTTAGGGGAGATTTGAGACACGTGAAAAGAATAACTGTGGCAGCAGCAGGCACCGCTCCCGGAGCATCGGAGGTGGCTTTGCTGCCCTAAGCACAGCAATTAGCTCTGGCCCTTCCCAGCCTGGTGCTGGCGTGTTTTCCTTTGGGTAATGGAAACATTTTCAGAGCTTATCTATAAATCAAAGCCTGGCCCACAGCCCCAGCTGTAGCCACGGTCACTTGGCTCCCTTGATGAAGGAAATACTTGTCTGTCATGACATTGCCACTGGATTTCTGCAAACTCCTGCTCCTCACCCCGGAAAACCATGTGGGAAAGTGGGCGAGGAAGCTGTGCAGTGCTGCACAATTTCTGGGGTTTGAATCCTGGAAAAAATTTTCTCCAGAAGACGATTTCAATGTGCTTTCTCCCCCTACTTTATTTTTTTTCTTCTTGCAGTGGTTTGAAAAGAATTAGTTTTCTAGGTCATTTTGCATGGAATCAGAACAAGGATCTACAGCTGAGCCCACGAAGGAAGGAAAAAGCACACACACACTCTCTCACACAAGGCAGCGGAGAGAAACGCCAGGCAGGAGCTGCCAGCTCGCAGGCGGCCAAAAAAGCAGACGGGAAAACCAAACCGGGGCCGTCAGCAGAGAGAAACTGGGACACTGCGGCCCCGCTGGTGTCCGATTTCAAAAGCCCATGTCTTACCACAGACACATGTCTCGGAGCTCTGCGCTTCACAGCAGCAGCGTGGGGTTCTGTGCTCCCCTCGAGCTGCCATGAATGTCAGTGTGGAGCCAGCTGGGGCAGTGGGAAGGGGACGGGGCAGGAATGGCCCCCGTGAGCCCCCTGGGCACCACAGAGTGTCCCACCTCCTGAGGAGCACGGACCAGGTGGGTGCTCAGCCCCTCCTGCCTGGAAAAGTGACCCAGCAGTGCGAACCAGCCATCAGAAGAATAATCCAGCGGGATGGGAAGTGGTTCCCAGCCAGGAGCAGCCAGCAGCGGGCCTGGCCAGCGCAGCCGGATGACACTGCAGGAAGGAGAGGTTGGCTGCTCCGTGGCGGAGCCTGGCCGAGCTCATTCCAGAGCTGCTGCCAAGCCCTGTCTCGTGAGAGAGTTTCACAGGCTCACGGGGACATTGTGTGGGATCGGTGTTTTAGCACCTCTCAAGCTCTGCCCCAGCAGCGAGTGTCCCAGCACAGCACCCAGCAGTAGGTTTACCTGGCAGCAGAGCCATGGACGTGGTTTCCCTTTTGCCAAAAATAAACCCCAATGTGCAAATCTCTGCTTCAACATTCTGAGCATTTTAGCACTTAGCAGCATCTCCTGCCCTGAGCTGCCTCCGTGCTCCTGGGGCAGCCGCTTTTGGGTGAGAAAAGGTGTCTGGCACCCTGAGGGAACCTGTCCCTCACTAGGTGGCACCTGGAGGCAGGAGGGACCCCCCCCCCCCCCCCCCCCGTGGCTCCCCAGCCAGAGATCCCAGGCCTGGGGCAGCCGGGGGGCCCCCCAGCTCCCCGCCGGGTCAGGGTAACCCGCGGGGGCACGGAACAGCCCCGCGCCATCGCGGCGAGTCAGCTGAGCTCCCCAAGCAGGGCAGAAGGCCAGCAGGGATTTTCCTTGCCAAATTAGAGGTTAAGCAGAGATGGGAGCTCGGTGGGATCCAGGAGGCACCGGCTTCCCCAGCTGCCTCCGTGCAGACCCGCACTTGGTGGCTCAGGCTGCAGCTGTCCCTGTGTCCCCCACCTGTCCTCTCTTTCCCAGGGGTTCAGGAGAGTAATGTCCATGGGACTGCTGTGCTCTGCCCTACTCAGTGTCCCCTGTGTGCCTGCTCTAGGCTGGCAGAGCTTGCCCAAACCACACCTTGCCCCAGCCTGGCACTTGCTGCTCTCCCCACAATAGATGGTGCTGCTCTGAGGCAGCACAAGCCGCTCCCGTGCATAGGAAGAAGGAGAAAAGAGAAGGGAAAACAGCAGGGAGAGATTTGAATCCAGTCCCACCAGCAGCTGAAGTGTTCCTGTGCTACGCTGGAAGGTTTTGGCTCTGGCTGGGATTCAGGGAGCAGCTTTACAACAGCTGGGAAGGGGGCAGGGAGGGGGGGCTCAGAGCACGCTTCGGCTCCAGATTTTGCCGTGTGTTTTCTGACACATGTGCTGAGCTGAACTCCTGATAAGCCATTCAGCCCCGCAGTAAATCAGCCACCGGCAGCCCAGCCTTCTCCAGTTTCTCCTCCCAAAGCCAGGACTTCAGCTCCTGGGAGCGTCAAGGTCTGTGAGAACCCACAGGGAGGCTCTGGTGGCTCTTCCCAGGGACCAGGCACTGACCTGGCAGCTCTGGGCACCCAAACCCAGCACTGCCCCATCCTGTGGCACTGCCAGCAGCCTGGGATGGGCACAGGTCCCGAGGGCAGCTGTGGGCAGGGGTGACAGAAGGCTGGGGGCCCTGCAGCCCTGGCTCTGTGGAGAGATGGCCCTGGTGCCTCAGCCCCTCTGAGTGCACATGTCACTCCATGGGGAACGATTTAACATCTGAGGAGTTTCTGGTTGCTGCTCTCCGAGGGAGGAAATGTCTCTCTCCTGCTCTTCCTTCTCCAGACTGGGTTTCAGCTCTGGCCTTGGCACTCTTTCCTTTCCCAGCTGGTGCAAAACACAGACAGGGAAATGGAATAGGTGGAGGAGTGGAAAAAGCCTTGCTGGGATGGCTCAGGTTTAACAGCAGTCAGAGGCAGAGGGGCTGAGTGCTGGGGCTCCTGTGCCTCGCAGCTGGGATGGGCAGCAGGGTGGGAGCAAGGAGCTGGAGGGTCCCCTGTGTGTCCCAGCTCCCAGACCGAGGAACCCACGGTTCCAGCAAAGGGGGGGCCTCTGAGCCTCTCCCTGTGTCCATCCTGTCCTTCTGCAATGGGTTAAGGAGACTCAAAAGGCCCCTTGTGCTTTGCCAAAGATGTTCTGGACCCCCGGCCGTGCCAGATGACTCCCAGGGGCTCCAACCCCGAGGGTAGGGAGTGACAAGTGTCCAGTGGCTCTGGGGTGCCACAGCCCCTTCCCGCTGTGCCAGCAGCTCTCCCGTGTCCTCCCATTCCCCCGCAGAGCGCGGCCCTTACCCAGGTACTGCCCTTTGCCTTCACGGAATGGGGGTCCCAGGGGTCCCTTCACCATGGGCTGCATGTACTTGACCTGGGCGTAGCCCCCCACGCCGCCTCCCGTGGCTGATCGAGGGCCAACCACCATCACCATCGTCACCATTGTCACCAGCAGCGCCACAGCGTCCGGCAGCATCCTGCTCCTGCTCCTGCTCCTGCTCCTGCTCCCACGGCTCCTGAGGACAAAGCAACAGTGAGAGTGGGCACCCACAGCGCCCCTTGTCCCCTCCGCCTCGCAGGGAACATCCAAGAGCCTGGGAAGGATCCCAGTGGGAACAGGGCTCCCTCAGATTTGCCTTTTTGTGGACCAGAGATGCCCTGAACACGTCACCCTTCCTGACACGCCGTGACTGGGAGATGCACAGTAAACACACAGTTTATGAGCAATAACCAGTGGTGGGTGCCCAGCAGAGCCTTCCAGAGGCTGCCCTGGCACCTGTGAGTCTGGGGTTATTTCCACACCAGGCTCTCTTGATATTTTTAGCACATAAGAGGGGAAAAAAAGTCAAATGAAAAACCCACAGCCCACCTAACCCAATGTTGCTGTCACACCCCTCAAGTGAGCAGGGGCTCTCCTGAGGAGACTCGTGGCCACTGTGGCCGTGGCTCCTGTGGGAGGCTCAGGCTGCCACTGCCAAGCTCTGCCTGCCCTGGGGACAGCCAGGTGACTGCTCCAGGTGACTCCCAAATGGGTGCTGGACCAAACCCACAACGTTGGAGCTGGAGACTCCCGTTTGTGGCTCAACTGCGGCGCTTTGCGGGCAGCGCCGGGGGCTCACGCAGAGGATGAGGGATCAGCACGGGAGCAGCAGCCTCAGCCTTAAGTGCTTGTTTATTTAAAATAAACCCCCTCTATAAATACTCTCTTCCTCCAGCAACTTTCCCTGCCGGCTCCACGCTGCAGAGCTGCAAACAGATTGATTTGCAAAGAACATTTATTTTCAGAAGCTTAAACAACACGTGATGCCAAAGAGATTTTTTCTGATTTTCCTCCTTCTCGCAATAATTGACCCGTGGTGGTTATTAATGAGAATTAAGCTCCTGTCCTGTCCTACTGGGGAGCAGGGGCAGGGCTGCTGCGTCCCGGGATTTCATCAGAATTTCCTGAATCGCTTTTGCTGAAGCAGCAGTGGAAAAAAAAAAAAAAGCTGCAGACTAGAGAAAAAACAACCCAAAATCCCCCAAATTAGAACAAAATTAAACCAAATTAAGTCAAGGGAGCGGGGAGCCCTGGCACAGGATTGTTTCTGTTGCCACAGGGGCTTTGGCAGGTTGTTGAAGTCTCCAGGGATGAAGAAGCCTTGACTGCTGCTCCTCCTGCCTGGAAAATGCCCTTGTAGCTGAGGGCAGGAGGGGACAGGGATGGCCCTGCCACCAGCTGCGTGAGGGAGCTGTGAGGACGCAGGTGGCTGTGGGGGATGCCAGGAGAGGAGCTCAGCTCTGCCCATCCCACCACAGCCATGGGGCCAGAGCGGTGCCGGAGCCACCACAGCACCCGGAGCCGTGGCCGTGGGTAGGTGGCACTGCCGGGGACACGCGTGGCAGCCACCCCCAGCCTCCCTGGCAGCACGGCCGGGGCCTCGCCGGCCTCATTGTTTTTCTGTCTTCAGGGTCGAGGAGAGGAACGCTTCTTTTATGAAGCATTATTTTACAAGGATTTGTTTAAGGGAAAAAGAATCCCATTTTAAGGGATTGCAGCTGTAAAAATACAGTTTCTGTTAAATAAAAGAGGAGAACAAACCCCTGAATCAGCTATTTACTTGTTTTCCTTACCTGGTATGACCCCTGTGCCTCTGTCTCTGCCTCCCTCCCTTCCCAGCTCTCTCCTCTCCCACCTGAGCTGGTTTCGCCCCTGCTCCTCCCCTCTGCCAGGCTGGTTTCAGGATGCTGCTGTGGGAACAGCACCCTGGGGTGGCTCAGCCTCTCACTGCTGGGTGCTGCTTCCCCTGCCCTTGAGGAGACGCAGGATGGAAGGAAAACAGAGCCAGAGGGAAGGGAGAGGGAGGACAAGGGAATCTGGCCACAGTTTTGCTTTGTGCTGGATACAAAATGAAGTTCCCTGTGCCCTCTGTCACCCGGTGGCTCCAGACATGGACTCTCCTGTGTGTTCTCCATTGGTCCAGCCGAGTCATTCCACCTGCTCCCACACTCCCAAGGGGCTGTGGGACAACGGGGGGGCCTGACCTGAGCCCCCCAGGCACGTGTGTCCGTCCCTTAAGGAAGGGGGTCTCTGGTGCTGTGCTGTCCCCCCTGGTGGTGCCCGGCATTGGGGCAGGAGGCCTCCCACTCCTGCACTCTCCAGGCAGTGATTTAATGAGAATAAAATGGAAACATCTGGAGCCTCATATGATGGATAAAGTGTGCACAACGTGCCTGTGGAGAGGCTCTTTCATGCCTGAAATCTCCTGTGTTATGAACTGATAATTAATCACACGGAGCAGCCGCGCCACACTCCCTTCTCGCCCAGCAGGTCGTGAACAGCGGCTGGTCCGTGGTGTGGATGGGGCAGCTACAGCTGGGGGTCACCTGCCTGTCCTCCTGTGGCTCACCCTGCCCAGCTTGGGCACTACAGCTGCTGGGGTGGGCACTATCCAGCCAGGCTGACATCCTTTGGAGGCAGCTCCGTCCCCCTCAGCGCACTCTGGTACTTCAACCACAACCACCCCTTGCCGCAAAGCCAAGCCCAGCAGGAGCAGCTGAGCCAGGAGGGTTCACACAGGGGCAGCTCTCGAGGGGTCTGTGCTGTTCCCTGGAGATGCTGGAGCAGGATGGGGCCCGGCAGCACCACATTGCTCAGCTCTGGGGGGAGCAGGGCCCTGAGCCGGCACCGGGACCCCTGGCACGGCTTCAGAGCCGCCGCTGCCGCACCGGCAGTGCGAGGGCCGGCTCCCCTGGCAGGCAGCAAGCAGACGTGTTAAAAACCCCTGGCACGCCATGAAAGCGCCGGGAACAGGGAAAAAAATCTCACACTTAAAGCATGAGAAAGGAGACAAGAAATGTCACCTTGTTCTTGCGGGAAAACAACCAGCCCGTGCCGCCCCCATGGCTTCAGAACTGCCTGTGGCTCGTGCTGGGCAGCTTGATGAGCTCCTGTCATGCTCCCGGCGTGCTCTTGGTCTTTCCCCGTGGAAAGGGGCTGCTGGTCCCCACACTGACCCCCTCTCCCTGCAGCGTCCGTGTCAGCGCTCCCGTGTCCTTGGACTGGGCAACGTTCCTGTGAGCACCACGGCCGTGCTTCCCTGTGGACACAGCTGGGGCTGTTGGCTGAGCCATGGCTGATTTATGGCCCCTGTTACTGAAATATTAATGAAGGGCCTGGCCGGCCCCGCGCCTGCTCCCTTCAAGGCTAATTATTTTTTAAGTCAATATATGTGATCCACGGGGGATCTGCCATTGTGACTGAAGGCCAGCACAGCAGGGAACTCGTTTAAACCCGGCAGTCAAACCGTGGTCATTGCAGGGCACGGCGTGTGCTCGCTGGCCCTCACCCCAGCTCCGGCCCCACATCCACCCCGGGGCCACACCAGCCCCATGGAGGGGCTCAGGGGTGAGCCAGGGTGGGGAATTTGATGCACTTCAACTGCACACCCAGGCTCACCGGTGTGGCCTCACCCCATCCCTGTCCCTGTCCCCATGCCCATCCCTGTCCCTGTACCCATCCCAGTCCCCAGTCTGTGCTCTGGGAGCACAGTCACCACCTCTGGAAGCTGTGGCAGAAGTGGCCCCAGGCTGGGGGGGCTGTGGGAAGCACCTCACACTCGCCCAGGGCGGGGGGACGCAGGGAAGGAGAAGCTCTGGGAGCAGCCGGCGCGTGTGGGTGGGCTGGAGCAGGCGGGCTTGGCCGCCGCCGTGTCCCATCGAGCCGCTCCATCCTCCGGTCATTTACAATAAAAAATAAAGCAGGGAGGATTTCCAAGCCCAACACGGGGCTGGCCCGGCTCCAGCGGGGAGGTCGATGATTTGCTTTGCGCTACACATGCTTTAAAAATAATAATAAACCCAGTCGAAAACGAAAAGTGAGCTACGGAGAGGGAGAGCAGCACGTTGTTTCCGCAGGCCGGGCTGCGAAAGCCAAAGGCATCGGGAGCAGCTCGGCTGAGCAGCGTCGGAGCTCGGGGGAGACTTGGCACCAGCCCGTCCTTCACTGCATGACACCTGATCCCATCCAAGGCTGCTGTACGCGCCGCCGGAGCCGGAGCCTCGCCCGCCAGCAGCCCAGGGAACAAGAAAACATTTTCCTTGACGAAGAAAAAACACCCCACCCCATCTGCAGGGACCTGCTGCCCCTGAGCGGTGCCCGCGCCCGGCCCCGCGTGGAGTGGGATGGGCACGGCATGGCCCATCATGGCACGGCGTGGCCCATCATGGCACGGCGTGGCCCATCATGGCACGGTGTGGCCCATCATGGCACGGCATGGGATGGCACGGCATGGCACGGCATGGTGTGACACAGCATGCCCACGGTGCAAGCTGCCCGTGGTTCGCTCTGCCCGGAGCCGAGGAGCCCGGGGTCCGGCAGCGGGGCCGACACCAGCGTCGGTGCCACCACTTGATCCCACGGCCGCGGGGTCAGGGCTCGGCTCAGGCGGATTAATGACCCCGGGCGTGTGTGCCGGGAGCGCAGCCGCAGGTCACAGCTCAGGGCTTAATCCCTCACCTCCAGCTGTCAAAACTCCTCGTGAGCGCGGCAGAGCCCCGGCCATCGCCATCCCTGCGGAATGACGGGCACCGTGGCATTGGGAAACCCAGACACAGAACCTCGGGTTGGCGTCGGCTTGGACCTGGATCTGGGTGGAAAACCTCGGCATAAAGCTCCAGGAGCACTGGGGTCCTGCCCTGGGGTGAGGCTCAGGGTGGCTCACAGCATCCCTGGGGTGCTGCAGTCCCCTCACCGAAATACAGCTGAGAAATCCCCCATGGAGGAGAGCAGGATCCCCAAGGGATGTGTCCTCCTCTTGCCTCGGCCCCCGTGGAGGGTTTCTGTACCCAAGCCCCCCAGTCCTCTCCCTCCCACCAGCCTCCACTGCACTGAAATACCAGACTCACAACATTAATAGCAGGGTTCCCTGCCAGGTGCATAGTTTGACCAGTCGGATCACACATGCCAAACCACAGGTATTTTATGAGACGTTTCCTGTTATGAAGACATTTTTGTGGGGATTCATTTTCTTCTTCCCTTCTTCCCGCCTCCTCCTCCTCCTCCTCCCAGTGGGATGGTGGCCTGCCTGGAGGGCAGCAGTGGCACTGTCCCTGAGGGCTGGATGGAGCAGAGTGGGAGCTGAGTGCCAGAGCTGGGGCGCAGTAGGGATGGGGGTCCCAGAAGGTCCCATCCCCTTGGCCATCCTGGCAGGGTCTGGAGCCCCTCTCCAGGGGGCTGTGGGGGTCCAAATTGCTGTGTGAGCCCTGGCTCGTGCCATGACCAAGCACAGCTTCTTGCTGGATCCTGGGGCAGGATGTGGAGTGTCCGCACAGACACCACGAGGAGGGACGTGGGCTGTGAGCTCCAGTGAGCTGCTGGACCTTCAGGGCATCACCACCTGAGGCTCAGTCAGCCTTGCTCCAGGGTCACATAAGCCCCGGTGGCAGCAGTGGGAATTTACCCAGGGTCTGTGGGTCAGACCCACTTTGCCCTCACAGCTCCTGCACAGGAACAGCGTTTTCTAAGGCAATGGGTGCTTTGCAGAGAAATCTGCTAAGCCTGGAGGGACCCGCAGAGAGCGATTCCCGGCTCAGGGAATTTGTGGGCACGTGGCCATCACCTGCAGACATTTAAACCTCAGCCTCGTGCTGGGGTCACCGGCTTCATCAGAACGGGCCGTGGTCCAGCCAGAGCCTTCTGGGCAGGGTGCTCAGGGGAGCTCCCTCGGGGGACTGCAAGCTGGGACACACAGGGCAGGGATGTCCCAGAGACCTGCCATGTCCCCATGAGAGCGGGGGTGATGGCACGGAGCACCCCTGTGCTGCTGGAGCCCATCACATCCATGCAGCATCCCGGGGGATGCAGCTCCTGCACCCGAGGGAAGGCAGAGACAGCCCTGCCCATGCATCCCATGGGAAGGAGACTCCTGTGAAGGGGGAGATGGGAGAAGGGGGAGCCCGTGACAGCACTCAGGTGTTCAACAGCAGCACCTGCCCTGCCACAGGATGGACACCCTCTGGCCTTGCACCATGGCACAGACCGGCTCCAGGAGTGTCCAGGGAAAGCAGCTCCTGAGCTGGCTCCCTGTGCCCCAGCAGGGCTGGTGCCTCCCTGGCACAGCATCACCTATGCACGTCCCCACACCGTGGTTTTCCGCCGGTCCATCCCCTCACCGCCCTCCAACACGCTCCCAAACCACCCAAGGTACAACAGCAAATGTGTGAACTGCTGTGCAACCATCCCCTCCTGTGAGGAACACCAGGAACATCCCCCAGCCCTGCCCCAGCTGCCCGGATGGGAACTTGCCTTGCAGTGTTTATCCTAACAGTCATTTTATTTTAACATCAGGGATTGAAAGCCTGTCTCCCTGGTTTTGCTGGGTCCTTTGATCTCCATTTCCTCTCCTCTTCCAGCATTTTAGCAACCCCCCAGGTGAGCCTGGCTGGTGCCAGCACTGCTGCTCCCACACATCCTCAGCGTCCATCCTCCACAAAACCCCTCTACCACAACACCCGGCAAAACCAGCTTCACCCTTGGAGCTGCATCTCCTCCAGGGCGACCCCAGAGCCCAACCCCCTGCCCCTAAAAGGGCAAGACTGTGTTTGGGGCCCCCCGGCTGCACCAGCAAACCCTCCCACAGGCTGCCACCGCTCCCCGTCCCACCAGGTCAGTCACAGCCCTTGGGGACTGCGTTGGCTGCAGCTGATGGGACCAGTCTGGAGCAGTGCCGGGGTCCCCCTGCCCTGGGGTCAGCCCGGGCAGGTGCTGTATAGGAGGGGGGTCCATGTCCCCCCACCGTGTCTCTGAGTCGCTCCCTGCGCCGCTCCTGGGGTTAACGGGGGGAAAATATTGTTTATGCTTCTCTAATATCGGCCTTCTGTTTTGCATTTGCCGTTTCTTCAAAGATAGGGAGCCGCCTCTGCCAAGATTCCAGAGGAGATATCCTCAGCAATGCCGACCGCGCTCCCCACCGCACTCAAAGAAAACAAATGTCAGGCCAAGGATTGATATGAAATAGTTTAAAAATGAGAAAAAGCTGCCTTACAGCTAGGTTTACATTAAAATAAATTTCAGGAGCAGGAGTCTGGGCCGTGTCCCTCCCCGCCGGGCGGCGCGGGGGGATGGGGTTACCTGTGGGGGCGGTGCCGCCGTCCTGCCCTCACCCTGGGCCAGGACCTGCTTCCCCATCCCCATCCCCACCCCATCCCCATCCCTACCCTATCCCTATCCCATCCCCATACCATCCCATGCCTGTCCCTGTCTTTATTTCCATCCCCTCCCCATCCCCATCCCTATTCCCACCCCTTTCCCATCCCCATCCCTGTTCCCATTCCCTGCTGCCCCCCGGGGCCGTGCACCATGAAGGAGCACTCCTGGCAGTGCTGCAGAGCTGCTTCCCCATATCCACACCCCAGGAAGGGGATGGAGCGCACGTTTCAGACTGTATTTATGTTCTTTAACTTAATTTACTTTAATTTAATTTCTGTGAGCTGACGCGAGACCCCGGCCAGACTGAGGTGTTTGGTGGAAACTCTGACAAGACACTCCCACACTCCCAAGCGGATTTCAGATTTCCCCTGTGCTCTGTAATGCCCGTTTCAGGGGGCAGGCTGTCTGCCAGGCAGTGCTCCCAGGGCCCTGCAGTGCCCTCATCCCACTGGGCAACCCCCACGTGCCTTTCCGTTGGGACGGACGCGGGTTGTGCAAAATCAAGCTGATTTTTTCCCAGAACTTTGCTTGGAAAGAATTTGTCTGACGCTGTCACAAGATGTTTCACCATCGCTGAATCAGCGGCTTTGATTTTTCAATTTGAAATTTCTATTTTTTTTTTCCTTTTTTTTTATTTTCCACATTTCCTTTGTCTCGGAGCCGACAGCCTCACAGGGAATTCCACTGGCCCCACTTTCCTGGGGATTATGCCAACCCCCCATCCCCCTGAGCCCCATGCAGGGGCA